AGAACTAACATTAAAAAAATGATGTCCTCATCATCATAGGGGACTGGAATGCTAAAGTAGGAAGTCAAAAGGTGACCGGAATAACAGACAAGTTTGGCCTTGGAGAACAAAACGAAGCAGGGCAAAGGCCAACAGAGTTTTGTCAAGAGAACACGCTGGTCATAGCGAACACCCTCTTCCAACAACCTAAGAGGTGACTCTGCACATGGACATCTCCAGATGGGCAACACCGACATCAGATTGATTATAAATCAGATTGACTATATAATTTGCAGTCAAAGATGGAGAAGCTCTATCCAGTCAGTAAAAACAAGACCTGGAGCTGACTGTGGTTCAGATCATGAGCTACTCATTGCAAAATTCAGACTTAAACTGAAGAAAATCGGGAAAACCATGAGGCCATTCAGGTTTGACCTAGATCGCATCCCTGATGAATATACAGTAGAGGTGAAGAATAGATTCAAGGGTCTGGATTTGATAGATAGAGTGCCTGAAGAACTATGGACGGAGGTTCGTTACATTGTACAGGAGGCAGCAATCACCACCATCCCAAAGAAAAAGAAATGTAAGAAAGCAAAGTGGCTTTCTGATGAGGCTTTACAAATAGCAGAGGAAAGAAGGAAAGCGAAAGGCAAAGGCGAAAAGGAAAGATTTACCCAACTGAACGCAGATTTCCAGAGAACAGCAAGGAGAGATAAGGAGGCCTTCCTGAATGAACAGTGCAAAGTAATAGAAGAAAACAATAGAATGGGAAGGACTAGAGATCTCTTCAAGAAAATTGGAGAAATCAAGGGATCATTCCATGCAAAGCTGGCCATGATAAAAGACAGAAACGGTAGGGTAGGGACCTAACAGAAGCAGAAGAGATTAGGAAAAGATGGCAAGAATACACAGAAGAACTATACAGGAAGGACCTCAATGTCCTTGACAACTACGACGGTGTAATCACTGATCTGGAGCCAGACATCCTGGAATGCGAAGTCAAATGGGCCTTAGAAAGCATTACAAACAACAAAGCTAGTGGAGGTGATGGTATTCCAGCTGAGCTATTCAAAGTCTTAGAAGATGATGCTGTTAAAGTGCTGCACTCCATTTGCCAGCAAATTTGGAAAACGCAACAGTGGCCACAGGATTGGAAAAGGTCAGTATACATTCCAATCCCAAAGAAGGGCAATGCCAAGGAATGTTCAAACTATCGCACAATTGCACTCATATCACATGCTAGCAAGGTCATGCTCAAGATCCTACAAGCTAGGCTTCAACAGTACGTGGATAGAGAACTACCAGAAGTACAAGCTGGGTTTCGAAGAGGTAGAGGAACTAGAGATCAAATTGCCAACATTCGCTGGATTATGGAGAAAGCAAGAGAGTACCAGAAAAATATCTACTTCTGCTTCATTGACTATGCTAAAGCTTTTGACTGTGTGGATCACAACAAACTATGGCAGGTCCTTAAAGAGATGGGAGTACCAGACCACCTCACATGTCTCTTGAGAAACCTGTATAAGGGCCAAGAAGCAACAGTTAGAACTGGATATGGAACAACTGATTGGTTTAGCATAGGAAAAGGAGTACGACAAGGATGTATATTGTCGCCTTGCTTATTTAATATATATGCAGAGTACATCATGCGAAATGCTGGCCTGGATGAATCACAAGTGGGAATTAAGATTGCTGGGGAAAAGATCAACAACCTCAGATATGCAGATGATACCACTCTAATGGCTGAAAGTGAAGAGGATCTAAAGAGCCTCTTGCTCAGAGTAAAAGAGGAGAGCGCAAAAGTGGGCTTGAAGCTCAACATCAAAAAAACTAAGATCATGGCATCCGGCCCCATCACTCCTTGGCAAATAGAAGGGGAAGTCATGGAAGCAGTGACAGACTTCACATTCCTGAGATCCAAGATCACTGCAGGCGATGACTGCAGCCATGAAATTAAAAGACGCCTGCTCCTTGGGAGGAAAGCAATGGCAAACCTTGACAGCATAATAAAAAGTAGAGACATCACCCTGCTAACAAAAGTCTGTATGGTCAAAGCAATGGTATTCCCAGTGGTACTGTATGGCTGCGAGAGTTGGACTATAAGGAAGGCCGAGCACCGAAGAATACCGGTAGATTATTTTGAATTATGGTGCTGGAGAAGACTCTTGAGAGGCCCTGGAGTGCAAGGAGATGAAATCAGTCAATCCTAAAAGAAATCAACCCTGACTGTTCCCTGGAAGGCCAGATACTGAAGCTGAAGCTCAAATACTTTGGCCACCCAATGAGAAGGGAGCACTCACTGGAGAAGACCCTGATGCTGGGAAAGATTGAAGGTCAAAGAAGACGGGGACGGCAATGGATAAGGTGGTTAGACAGTGTTATCGAGACAACGAACATGAAATTAAACAAATTCCGGAACATGACGGAAGACAGCAGGGTCTGGCGTGACGTGGTCCATGGGGTCGTAAAGAGTCGAAACTCGACTGTGCGACTGAACAACAATCTTTGCATAATCAACAACAAATGGAAATAAAAATAGGCCAAAGTTATAATCTTTTCCTCTTTTTTTTCATGTTTCACAAATATGTTAGTTGTGCTCTGTGGCAGGCACACACAAACTGTGACCCTGCCTAGCGCATTAGCCATGCCTGTTGGCCCTAAAAGGTGTGACAGATCGGTGCAAGTGACAGAGTGGTGCAGCATTGTGATGACAAGCTCTGTACACATTTTACCTTCCCTGTGTGGAGGAACTGAACTCCACCTGCCTTTGTTTGGCTAAAAGTTAGTCTTATTGATTTGGTCCCTCCATTAGTTCACAGCAAATCTTTCTATGTTCAAGTTATCAAAAGTCAGTTCAAAAATTTGGCCTAGAAAATGTGACAGAGACTCAGAGTAAGAGCAGATTACTCACAAGTATCCTTCAGCCGCAATTATGTCAGCAATGTATCTGGTGTCGGGGAACTGCCACCCGTATATGTCATGAACCACAATCACAGCTTTGTCTGTGGGGAAAGGGGGTTGGCAAACATAGGCTTTGATAGTCTCAATTTGTGTTTCTTGGCCACGTCCCACATAATTGCTTCTTCTTCCGATGTCATATTGGAAAGGTAAATCCTTGCTAGACATTTGTAAAAACTGAAATTGAAGCGAACAATAGATTAATGTAATTAATAACCAGTTTATCTTTTCAAATATTTATTGATGAATGCAACCCTTTATTTGTTTTATCTTAGCTCTGTTGTAGCCCATGTGGATTTTAACCATATAATTAAAAGAAAAAGAAAAATTACTGAGATATATATTATACATGGAAACCAGCAAGGGCTTGCGGGAGGCATCTAATTTTCCCCTCCCCCCACTATTTCCTCTTTCCCTTTCCTGAAAGCCTCGGAGCCTTTTCCTTCTTCCTTATCTCGTTTTAGGATTGCTAAACTCCAGTAAACGCTAAACTCAGAAGACCATTATATCTACTACTGTGGCCAGGAATCTCGAAGAAAAAATGGTGTGGCCTTTATAGTCAACAAGAGAGTTCAGGGGTCAGTACTGGGATACAATCTCAAAAATGACAGAATGATTTCGGTCCGATTCCAAGGCAAACCATTCAACATCACAGTAATCCAAGTCTATGCCCCAACCACTGATGCAGAAGAGGCTGAAGTGGACCGGTTCTATGAAGACCTACAACACCTCATAGAACTAACACCAAAAAATGATGTCATCATCATCATAGGGGACTGGAATGCTAAAGTAGGAAGTCAAAAGGTAACTGGAATAACAGACAAATTTGGCCTTGGAAAGCAAAATGAAGCAGGACAAAGGTTAACAGAGTTTTGTCAAGAGAACACACTGGTCATAGCGAACACCCTTTTCCAACAACCTAAGAGGCGACTCTACACATGGACATCACCGGATGGGCAACACCGAAATCAGATTGACTATATAATTTGCAGTCAAAGATGGAGAAGCTCTATCCAGTCAGTAAAAACAAGACCTGGAGCTGACTGTGGCTCAGATCATGAGCTACTCATTGCAAAACTCAGGCTTAAACTGG